TATGTTGAAATGTGCGAAGGTCTAACGAGAATTCGCTCCAATAAATAATCATTAATTTACAGACTTGGATGAAGACAAAATAAATAGCATTTCTAAACGAATTTCTATAAAATATTTGCTTAGTTCACGGAGTAAATAAATAGTGTCCGTGACCCTTGAAGGTCAAGATAAGTAGTAATGTAAATCAACACGCATAACGCAAMGCTTTATGTTGATTGTCCCCGTGTATCATAAACGGCCGATTATCTTGTATATATTTAGTTTTGAGTTCGTAGGTCGAATGATTCCTGGAACAAAACACACAGCCTGCCTTTGAAATTAAAAACAGAGAAAGCGTTTTCAAAGACTCATTTCGTAGTCGTCTTTCGCCGAGTCTCCCACCACGAGGTTCCAAGGCCGCCATCGGTTGTCATCCCCTTCGGCAATAATCGGAGTACAGCGAGATCTTGTTGTTCAAGCGTTGATTGGTTTCGTGTCGAATTGTTTATTATTGATGATGATTGCTGATTGGTTCCGAAGTTACTCACAATGCCTCGAAACCCTTTCGACTAATTCCGAACGTTTGCCGAGTCACACTCACTCTTACAGACGGACACAACTCGATGACATAGTGGCTTCGCCTCTTCGAGGCAGTAGCCACGAAAATGTCGGTCATGGAAAACATTGTCGAAGAATCTTCCAAAAACAAAACTAGCCCCTGGGGGGGGGGGGGGGGGTTGATTCGGTTTCAGTACATGGTTTTCATCTCGAATAAAAGAATTAAAGATTTTCCCCCCGATTTTAATTTTATCTTCCACATTCATTCAAATTGGGCTTCCTGTGACTTGCGCATCGGGAGCTCCGCTTTTAGGCAGTGCCTAAAAATATATTATTAAGGTGTTATCCCTGTATTTCTAAAAGAGTTGCAGGCTCTGCAATTAATTTAGCATGCGTAGCAGGCGGTTTCGGGTTACGTTGATTATGTTATTTATGGTGTTATGCATGTCACACTACTTGTCAAATTGCCCAAGCTTGCTCGCTGTCGTGAAAGTGTACTAGGCTGACTGAAGAAGTGAATGTATTTCACTCAGAAAATATTCATTTACTCGCTAAAATAATAAACAAAGCTTTGCTGCAAATTCCATTAGAAATATCATTTACTTGTATTTATTCGGGTTTATAAATCACTGATTGTTTCTTGAAGCAAATTACCCAGTTGTTTACCGCGGAGACGATGTTCTTGTGTCTAATATAGCGATCAACTCGTAACAAGATCAGTTCGCACAAACATGTCTGACTGCTTAAGTCCTAAGAAATTAATTTACTCTCTCAGAAAACTATTGATTTACGCGGTCGAATTAGGGATTTTATAAGCAAATTCGTTCATAGGCCTTTTGCAAGGGTTTCTGTTGGTCTCTACGTTTTTTACTCGTTTTGGACTATACACTTAATTCTCTGGCGAGTAAATATAAAATAGTGCAAGATTTCGACCGTAAGCTTCACGATGAAGCGCAAGATAAGGTATGTTAGCCACTCCAAAATGACAGTCGTTTTCTCAGCAGTGAAGAATCAAAAACAACAACTAGCCACAAATGAAAATCAAAAAATGTCCGGTGGAGAGAGTTTTGTAACTATATAAAATACGTCGTGATCAGGGTGATAAGTCATATGACCCTGTAAGTCTAGAATATGACAGCGTCAATCATGCGCAAACAACGCTTTGTCATGGTACATGTCGAAGTCTTGTCCGTGTCGAACACACAAAAATCTTCATATGGATAACCAAAAATAGTCTTACTTAAAAAAATAAAAGTAAGCTTATATTTTGCATTATGCTTTGTTCATTTTTTTCAATAAGTTTTCAAGTCTGGCTTGTGGTGTTGATTTGTCCTTAAATTGTTCAGAAATTTCCAAAATTTGGATTCGAAAGAAAGGCGTCAAAGCTAAATTTCAGTAAACCTGATATATATTGTATAGGTTTATCTGTAGTTATCTTTCGTTTTTCAAGTCTAATTAACCAGGGATTCAAAGCGTAAGAATGTCGGCCATGGAAAACTTTGTAGAACATTTTTTAAGAGCAAAACAAGCTCCTGAGGTGGCTGGTGGTGGATTGTGTATATGTGACTAAATTCCTAAGTGGGAGGGTAGTAAAGTCGAAAAAAAGACTCGTGTTACGATGTAGTGTATTTCGATTTTGATTTTTTCACTGCATGTTTTTCACAATATCTTCATCTCGTAATAAAAACATAATAATTCAAAATCCCCCCCCCCCCCCCCCCTCCCGATTTTTTTTTTTTTTTTTCACCTTTCATCTAAATTGGGCTGTCTGTGCCTATTGGGAGATCTGCTTTTAGGCAAGGCCTAAATTTATATATTAGTTCATGGTCTGTGGTTGTTCTGTGTAATATACTTGAACCTTGTCATGAGAAATTTCGATCAATAGCAGGTAATTTTATTATCAATCACTTGAAAATAACAATAATAAATATACGAATATCCCACAATCAGTTTGTTATGTGCTTCAAACGGTTACATCTGGGCATCAACTGATATTAATATTTAAAAGAGATTTTGTATTTTCACAATAGATTGGATCCACGAACCTGAAGCGTTATTTAAGTTTGTTTTGATATAAATGTACATGCATGTAAATATGAACACATACATTGTGAGGAATGACTGGAGGTAAACACAGCATGAAAATAATAAATCAAAACTTTAAATAAGGATATATTATAATGATGATACTGATATAACACTAAAAAAAATCTAGATGGATTGAAGTGAAATTTTTAAACAACGTTTTATATCTCATATAGTATATTACCTTATTTATATTCTTTTTTTATCATTTTAAAGTTATAGGATGATCAGAATATATATATTTTTTATGTAAGCCGTTTTAGTAGAGTATATATTTCGATTCATATTCTTATGGTAGCTTGCATACCACGCATCACTTGATGTTCTGATCGTCTTTGTCCCTGCTCCCTCTAAGTTTTATAATTTACAGTATCTCTTTATTATTCGTTTATTTTACCTGATCTTTATTCCTTGCGTTTCTCGGTATCTGCGCAGTCTTACTCGTCTAATTCCCTCGCAATCCTTCTCTTGCTTGTTTTCTTAGCATTTCAGATATTTGTGAATTATTTCAGTGTGCCAATGAACCGATTTGATTCAAAGCAGGTAGTTTTAGTACATCTGAACAAACGTTATAACGGGATGCTTAGTTACGGATTTGCAACTCACCCAACTCACTATTCTATAATTGTATTTCATTTCTTATTGACTAGATTTTAATATTTCATTCTAACCACGTTCGGTTCTGTGGGTTTTCTTTTTCAAAAGATATAATACTTTCAGCATTCTCGCTTTCACCTCATTGGCTGTTACTTATAACTGTTACCGATTTGGGCGATGTGAGATAATTAGATCAATAATAAAGCAGACGTAATTGCCAATAAACCGATTTTAGGGAAGCACGGGTGGTGTAGCGGTATGAGCGCTCGCCTCTCATCAATGTGACCCGAGTTCGAATCCCGCCGGGTTCGGTGTTGTATATGAGTAGAGTTGTTTGTTGGTTCTCTCCTGTACTTCGAGGGTTTTCCGGGTTCTCCGGTTTTCCTCCCTCCGCAAAAATCTACTTCGATCATGGAATGAGGGCCACAGGTTTGTTAGCCACTGGCTATGAAGTGCTCCTCGTGAAAAAAGGACGTTTTTTTTTAATATATAACTTCGGTGGAATAAGTAAATGGGATGTCGATCAGAAGGACTTAGAACATTTTCTTTTTTGTGGTTATGTCAAGATCGTAAGATAAAGGTCATCTTGAATTATGGGGTGGCTGGCAACCAGAAAAGCTTTTAGCTACAATGCAACGCCTTGAAATAGTAGATGTAATTGGCCATTGTTGGGTTAGAACTTTTAATTGATGCAAATGTTAAAAGAGATGAGCAAGCCCCATCATCCCTCGCCTCAGCCAGATAGAGACAAGACCCTTCACAAGTTGCGTTTTCATTTTTATAACAAAAATATAGCCGGTCTAGCCCCAGCTAGTGCATTTTTTTAAGCGGGAATAAAATGTCCCAAAGTTTAAGTGGCGTACATACGCTAGTGATTTTTTTGGTAACCAGGCGGCTGTCATGACAAAACTCAAAACTTGTTAGCATTGACCCCATGCAAATATAAACTGTCTCCAAGGAAAACTTTGCATATTTCGAAATATCTAATTAAAGTGGCTATCTAATATTTTGTGATTAAAGTATAGAGAACTCACGAGCGAAAAAACGGCTTTAGACGTGAACTAATATACTGCATGTTACTGCAAGGGCGGATCCAGGGGGGGGGGGGCAAATGAGGGCTGAAGCCCCCCCCCTTCAGCAGAAAAAACTATGCTTTTTTATATTGTTTTCCATTGTCTTGACGGAAGAAACTCAATTAGCAATTAGCCCCCCCCCCCCCCCCTCCTTCCCTAACCCTAAAATTTTGGCTGGATCCGCCCTTGTACTGGTATATTTATGGGGCAAAAAAACACACACACGAGCAGTTTTGCATGTCATTTTAGTATGATATTCAACGCAAACCAAACAAGCTTAAAATCAATTTATGTTTTAGTTGAAGTCCCAAGTCATTCCAGACTATTTTCAACTAAACCCCAAATCAGAGTCTATCTCGTTTGAATAAGAGTTCTGCATCAGGAAAAAAGCTCTAAAGAGAGCGAACTAAAAACCAGCTACCCATCACGTCCTACCAAAACCGAAGCTAATCCAGAGAATTTAATATGTATAATTTCTTTAAGATTGGTGCCTACCATTGCGAACCATTTTTATTTATTTTAAAATTGTGTCAGTCTTTTAAAACGCTCAAAAAGCCACTGGAATGTGAAAAGGGGGGAGGGGTAACGTGCATCTAAAAGCGAGATAATCACGTTAAACACCAATGATTTAAGCATCTTTCTTTCTTGAAGTAAAAGAAAAAATTCAAACTTTTTTGACCGATTTTATTTGAAACTTTATATAACATTTTATGTATCTCATGAAAAAAATTTTTTAACCAAATTTTTCCCTCAATTCAACATGTAGCGGGCAAACACGGGCTAGAAGGACTGAACAATGTCTCATTTTGGCAAAACGTTATTGTATTTCGTTAAAATTTCTTGAAACTTGGTAACATTGAAGAGTTTAACTGACAAATCCTACAACATTTTTGGCGGGAAAATGACGTAATCAATTTTAACGGAAAATCGAAACACTCCTCAATGGAAAATTCTAACTGGCGCATTTGAAAGAACTGCACATGAGAAGTTCAAAAATGCAAAACTTGTTCATTTTTCAAATATTCATGAAGTCGCCATTTCGTTTCTAAAAATAGAAACAAAATGGCAGCTTCATGAATATTCAAAATATCATATCTTTTGGTTCCCATATCAGAAATAAACAAGCATGCTTTCGAATGATTGTCAAACGCCATGCTATTAGACTGATGGAAACTTCATTTAAAAACGTGATAAATATGTTTTGATAAATACAACCAAACCTTCTTGAATATATTTTGAAATTAAGAGTCTTCTTTTGCTGAATATGTGGAATGCGTCAGACATGTGTCTGAGATAAACGGACACGCAGCGTATTTGCATTGAAGACAAGTCAACTCTTAATAAAATATTAATGATTTGTCAGCCGTGCTTTAATAAGACGATTTTAATATAACTTTGAAAACAACATTAACATTAATATAATATTGCACGTTCAACAAGGATGTTGGTGGAAGAAGACATCGGTCATAAGAGTGACACTGCGTCTTCTATTGAAGATGACAACATCAGACAGATTTGACATGATGATATTTCGTTTTCATGTCAGACATGTATTGGGTCATGCTTCCATCCTTCTTTTTAAAACTGACTATTGTTATTCTTTTTGTAAGTATTTCCTAGACTTGATGTTTAATTTATGCGATAAATATATGCAACATCAATTTCCTAACTTTTTATGCTTTCTTTGAATGTTGAATTTTAAGCACAATTCACTGTCTGACAGTCCGGTTCTGTTGAAGCAGCACGTCTTGGTAACACGCGGAAGAACGACTCAAGACACTACCCTGATCTTGATCCTAAATCAGAAATTAAAGACCTTGAAACGATGTATGAGACCGATGTATATATAGGATAAATGGCTTCGGTGAAAGAATAAATATACCTTACTTAAAAATCCTTTTATCAGCTGACACGATGTTTTCTTTGCAGTTCTTAAAATACAAAGGCATTAGCAAATAACGCTTTATAATCTACAAGTGGAATTCAATAATATCTTGTGAGAGTCAAAGGTTTTGGAGTCGATCAATGGCTTAAGCAAACACTCCTCCCTCGCTATGGTCAACTATTCCAATTAAAAAGACAAGACTATCAGACAAGTATTCTTATTGGTGGAAAAGAGGGACTGTATAAAGTACAAAAGCATCGAGAAGTCATCTTAATCAGACTGCTATTATCTATTTGAAATCGTGCTATTAAAGGAATATTTGGCATTGAGTTGGTGTGGTACTTTGAAGATGGCGATGAAGATCCTAACTTTTGGTAAGTTCTTTTTGGTGTTAACTGCTAAATGTATTCTTTGAGAAAATAATTGTACCACGTTTAGTTTTTCTTACTTTTCGTGCATTTCTTTTCATTCTGATTCCCAACTACAGTTTAAAACTTGGTTATTTTTGGAAGGAAAAATTGAGCTACAAAATGTGTGTCAGTTGGTTGAGCAAATTGCTGATTGTAGTAATTTTTGGTTTATAAATACCTTCTTTTACTCATGCTTGAAATCATTCACTCAATTTAGGATATTGAATATAATTTTATATTTTGTAATTTAAATATTGTTATAAAACCCTGATTGAAAGCTTTGCATGATGTGTCAGTGGGAATAGAAAGCTGCTAGAACTTTCTTTTCAACATTGCGTAAACGGATTTAGCCCTCTGAGCTCAAAGTCTATTTTTTGAATGTTTCTGAGCGGAGCATTTAATTTTAAGGGTATCAATTAATAATGTACTGTAGTTTGTTATTGAATTTGAATATGCGATTGATATATTCTGCTCTTGAATTTATAATTAGTTGAGGACCAACGAGTCGTGATTAATTCAGAGAAGAGGGAACACTTATTACTATCTCTCTCGCTCATTCTTTGCTTGTGTTCGTAAACGCTAGGTTCGGAAGCTATACATTTATCCGTGATCCCATCGGTCTTCTCTTAGAGGCAATATACTATTTAATTTGGCCCTTAGAGTGCCTATGAGCCTCATTTTTTTACTTTTTTATATCGAAATATAAGCTATTCTAAGAAACGTGTCGATGAGAACTGGAAAAGGAATATTTAGATAATGAACTTCCTCATAGAAGCCCAAGAAAGCAGTTAAAAGTCCAAAGACTGCTAAAAAAACCCAAGAAACGCAATGAAGTTTTCAGTATCCCATACATTTCTTTGTAAATCAAGAAGAACGTGTTGCTACTATGACGTCACCAGCCCAGTCTCCCCTGTCGCTCGGTTTTGGAATCTTCCTATTTTCGCACTTTTGACCGCTCGAAGAAAAAAATAGAAAGAAGCGTCAGAATCAAAAACTTTTTCGACACGTTTCTTAGAATAGCTTATATTTTGATATAAAAAAGTAAAAAAAAAAAAACAAGGGTCATAGGCTTTTTAACCTATTTTGTTGTGAAGTGTGATCGTCCTGGTGAGTTTGTGGTAACGGAAGTTTCGCTCAGGTTGTCGTTCAAACGTCAATCACAACCAACAACGATCTTCAAGACTACACAATCACCTGGACGATCACACTTTACAACAAACTTCGGTTCAAATCAGTTACTCTTAACCTATACTTTTGGGTGGTAGTTTAGAATAAATTCAAGACGAGAAACAACAGTGGTAGCTGAAGCCCACTGTGATGTTTGCTGTTATTTCAAGTTCATTTTATCTGCCGTCAGAATTAAAGGTGACCCAAATGATTCAATCTCCATGTACCATGCATAAAATGGTTTTGAGTAGACACAAATAGAGCTACTCCATGTGACTCACAACTATCTAGCCAGAATCTTATTGACTGTGTGCTTAGTATCTTATACTTTTTTGGAATTTTCTCTAGCCAAATGTTGGCAGCATCATCTTCACTAAATTTTATCCTTCTCAAGTTAATGAAGACTTATTGTGAACACTTTTAACAGCTAAAAACTGTAAAATTGAAATTATAGTTGTAGATGCCAATCATGCATCCAGTCATCATCATCAATTCGTTTTTTATTTTTATTAGCTAGTACACTCAGCACCTAATTGCAAAAACGCTGTCATAAGAAGGAAAAAAAAAGACTAATAGGAAATAATTATAAATTTTTAATATTGTCGTTCTAAAGCTAGCCCCCTAGATTGATGGAAATAACTATTTTAGTATATGATAAAAAGGTAATATTAAAGATATCAGTCTATACCTTCAAAACTGTAAAAATACAGTACTTTTTTGCTTAGAAATTGATATTGATTAATAATTGCTATCTATTGCAATGAGATAAAAAGCCTTCAAAAATCATTCGTCTTTTGTTTTAATTCTGAAGTAATGTAAATAAAGTTCGAGTCACGATGCTCGATGAGTAACCATTATAGAATAAAGTCAATGTTTTAGAAGAAAAAAACGTAGTATAGTCATAGCTATCATGATGCGAAAGCGTTGTCTCGTAATAAACGTAAATATCCTAAGGGTAATCCATACCTGAAGTATGTTACCCATCACTCTAAATATATTTCTCAATCTTTCTTTTTATACTCTCTCCTAAAGCGTTACTCAAGTGCTTGGTAATATTGTGGACTCACGATTCGACAGCGGAGCTGAGCGCTACACAGAAACCTGGTAAGTTGTATTTATATGCATATCAGAGCAATTATTCGTTATTAACCAGAACAAATCACCATGGTAACGTTTTGATGCCGATCTTCATTGAATTCGGAGGAAAGAAAATTGTCCCAAATCGAAATTTCATCTAACTCAAAGTTTTTAGGTTGCCAATATTAATAGGTAATGTATCTTTTTTTTCTATTTGGAAAGGTCTCGTGTTTCATCAACCATGCACTTGCATGTCAGCAGAAACATAATTGCCATGGAAACGAGACATCGGCATATTTTTAGACCAAATATCAGAAATACAATGACCATTACCATGTATATTAGACTTTTTTCAAAATTTTGCAATATTTGTCCGTATTTCATAAGAAAAGAAATAAGTATTTCAAAACCTGCTACCAGCGGAATCGCGAAGATTATTCTTTCTGGATTTAAGGTGTCTCGAGGTAGTTTTTTAGTGACAACGCCTTCAATTTTCATTATGCGAGTTGATAGACTTCCCCTAGACTGAACGAAACGACTTTTGCACCCTTTATCAGGCTTAGATGGAAGGTTCGATTGATGTCAATTTTGGCTTGATCCTCGTTAACTTGGCAAGGAAAACCAAAGCATTAATATATAATATTGGGGGGGGGGGGGGGTAAAATATCCCTCTCTTTCGATGAGCTCCAGTTAAATGACTATATATGTGATAAACTACACACCAAGGCACAGTAAATGAAAAAGTGTTCACGCTATTTAATTAGAGCGATTTTGAAACAATCGTATAAACTTACTGAGTCATTATATTTTTATGTTTGAAACTAAAGCGAAATAAACAATCTCCTCGGTGTTTGTGAATGTACCAATAGGAGCAGCAAGGGGTATAAACATGCATTTGCAAGCTGGTTTATGTGCGATTTATGTGCTAAGTACGCCAACTTTGGCGCTTAAATGTTCCAGCCTATCAATTCGAATGAGTCATTAAAATATGTTATTGCCAATCAACTTAATAGGTTGATATAAATAGGACACGGGAATGTTAGCCTTATTTTTGCAGCCGTTTTAAAATTATTTTGAAAACGCTAAAAAGTGAAAAACAGGGAAATTCTCCACAAAATACATGATATCAATCAATTAACAGGGTTATCAAAGAAACAATTTATAAGGAGCGCTTATTTTTCATTCGATTATAATGTTCTTATTTAATGTACCGACAGAGAATAGAATAAAATATTTTTTTGGAATGTGAGATTAAGATAGGAATTGATGACCAGTTGGTTAAGTTCCGGCTCGATTAGTAGCGACCTTCAATTCTATCGATAGATAAATGGAATTTTCAATACCTCGAGATTAAAACTATCTAAATGAAATATGACACCAATGGCGATAAGCGTCAGCCAATAGAAATGCGTCCTTGCACATCTGGCGCGCGACAGCAGGGGTACTGGATATTGTACAAGCTAAGATTTATCACTTGAAAACAGTAGCTGCGTTAATGAGCAAAGGTGACTCAACGACATGGAGAATGAAAATATTCTAAGAATGATGGCATACTTAACACTGCTAAGCCCTCTCTACTCACATATGTGTAAGTATATTTATATGTATATAATGGTATATGAGTGAAGTCCTTGGTGCCAGCCCTACGTGCCACACAGGCGTAGAGGATAATGATGATGACGATAGTATGCGAGTGGAAGTTCAGCGTTTGGAAGCAGAGACTATGTATTTCTGTTTTTTCCCCCTTTATGTTTATGAATGAATTTCTTTTCTCTAATACAAGGTCATCCTTGTCATGTCCAGGCATAAGGTTAACGCAATATATCCATACAACATATACAGGAATTCTATGTTTAGAAGCCCATGATTATGAACAGTCATTTCTGCTCGCGCGGTTTTAACTGACAATGTCTTTCCACAGGACTATTTGTTGAAAAAATTTACATTTTTTGACAAGTTTTACGTTTTACATTAAGTTTTCTTTCAGTGTTTTCAGGCTACTTTCTAAGTGTTTTAAAGTTCATCTTTATTGAATACTTTTTTTTTATCATGGCATTCGCTACAACAGTATGATTATTTATTTGGTACCAGGTAATATTGGAAGAAGACTCTTAACTATTTCCCGGAATAATTTTAAATTGATGAAACCTCATGTAGGCGATAACTTAGATTTAAGCACTCAATAATAGTCGAATACTAAAGACTAGACATGTTTATTCTTGTATTTTCTTGTAACTCAAATAATACTTTTCTGATACTTCAAAATGATAAGAATCTTAACGCGGCCCTTCAAAGSCAGACCAATGAAAGCAGAATACAAATTAAATCTGTCGAGAAAAACATCTGAAAACTTTTATGTTTTTATCCTTCTTCATTATTGTTCATCGATTGATGCACATAGCAATTCTTGTGATGAMGAATTCCTAATAACAACTGATTTCTATAAACGAACTCTAAAAGAAAAACCAAATTAAGAGCCGGATCACTTACAGATGCTTCGTGCTGCTGGCTATTAGTTTGGTGTGGATAATTTAACACTGATCACACCAATGACTCTCATATAGTTATGCCTTGGAAAGCAACCACGTGACTCGAAATCCCTCGAGATATAAATAATATTGGTTGGTCTAGCAAGAGAAGCTAATGAAGAATGAATCGTCAACCAACAAGGTGGCTATGACTTAACACTATTCACCCCAACCTCAGAAAATCATAAAACGTACCAAGCACACTCGGTAAATTGATTACCTTATTGGTTTTTGGACTGGATAATCAAAGATAATTGATGACACCATCAGCTTTAATATGATGAAAAAGGACGCGGTCATAAGATGTGTTAAGTATTGCACGGTGGCTCACCATTTCTAGTTTCTTTAATATAATTTTAATTTCAGAACTTTTTATCTTACTTGTATTTTGATTAGAAAGTTTCGGCTAGGACCGAAGTTTCTATAGTTATATACCAATATGTTGTTGACGTCCACATACAACCAAAACGAAGGGCATAAAAACCTCCTCCAGCAGGGTAGCTACCAAATGAAAAGCTTACAAAGTGGGCGGAATGCCCCGAGGGAATGAGGATATTTTTCATTTTTCCCATTATTCGGCTGGCGATGTCTCCAAACTAATAGAGGATGTACACTGAATAGGGTCGTTAAGCTAAGCTAAGTTGAAGCTGAGGTTATAATAAATCATCACGTACATCAGAAAAAATCTGTTAACATTTGGTCAGCTACGATTTCAAGCCCACGCCCCTCATATGAGCCCATACAAATTATGTCTCAAAAACACGGTTTTGGATCTTTTCTCAAAATAATCTAGACAAAAAACAGAAGTGGATTCAACTATTCACGGACTGTATTATATGGTTTAGATTGAATTCTATTGAAAAAAAACACCGTACTTTTTGAGTTGAATGTACGCTATTGGACGTATTTTACAAAAGAAAATGCATGACATAACCGAGGTCAAGCTAGAAAATCGTCTCTCCTTGAAATAAAACAGAACCTGTCAAAAAAACAGAAGTGGATTCAGCTAATTATTCAGCTAAAGATTCAACTATTCACGGACTGTATTATATGGTTTAGATTAAATTCCATTGAAAAAAACCACCGTACTTTTTGAGTTGAATGTACGCTATTGGATGTATTTTACAAGGGAAAATACATGACATAACCGAGGTCAAGCTAGAAAATCGTCTCTCCTTGATATAAAGCAAAGCCTGTCAAAAAAAAAACAGAAGTGGATTTGAAAACCCCGGGCTTTACTGAACATTTTGGTATATAATTCATAGGAATTTGTTGAAGAAATAGAAAACGCGCGCGCGTGCTGTGTGCTGCCATAAAGCACGCAGGCGTTGGCAGAACACGAGAGAAGTGTTAGGAGAAACACGACGCGTAGCAGAGTGCTTCTCGACACTTCTCGAGTGTTCTGCCAACCCCCAAGTGCTTTATGACTGCACACAGCACAGCAAGCAAGTTTTTTATTTCTTTTATAAAATACAAATTACAATAATAGATAGGAATGACGCAACGGAAAGTGCGAGCGCGTGCAATGTGCTCTCATAAAGCACGCGCTCCAAACCAATCAGAATGCGACATTCATAACAGTTATTTTATAATAAAATTTAGAACCGTATTTTTGCTGATTTTATAAGCTTATACTATGTGTTGGCCTATACATTCGCCTCTTATGATTTCTTAGGTTTCGTAGCCTCGAAAACATGCTAACTACGGTAGTTAGCGAAAGAACAGAAGATTTACGGGTCATTTAGGATGTTTTGTCACGCATTTTACTTGTGCTATATAACTTTACTTTTAAGAACAACCTTTTGCTTTGGAAAGAGAGGAAAAAGACCGAAAAGGGCAAATATTCCAAATGTATGGGCAATTTTTTCCAATTTTGCACTAAAAACTAGGTCATGACCGTCTTATAGTCGCGTTATAGTTTTACAAGTCCAGAATCGCCTTAGTCTTTGAGCTTGTATAAACGTTTTCACCATTTACGTCCTCCATTAAATATGCTATAACTATCCGCGCCAACAACAACTTTCAAGATTTCCCGGGAACAATTTTGGCCCCAAGCCTCGCGCGGTTTGCTTCCTTGACTCTAAACCTCCAAACGGGGTTCGCTCGGTTTAAAAAAGTGCGCCTTCAATAGAAACTGGTGACATAGAGCGTTGTTTCCAAGCCAACGAGGAACCTGGCTACTCAATATGGCGGCCGAAGAATGGTAAAAACGATTGTAAATTTGACGCAATTCTCGAGCGATTCTGGACTTCTCATCTCAAAACCAGCCTCCACAGTGACTGAACAAATACTTCAAAAATCGCATATCACATTTAAAGCCGAAAGTAAAAAATACAGGATTCATTTAAGGCAGTGAATGTACATCAAATTTCCTGTTACATTTTTTAGAATGGTATTTACGAAGACTAACTATGGCGTTTCTTAAAGGCATTGTTGTACTTTCCATACAAATGGACGCCATTTTGACACAGTATTCACTCAAAGAAAATCGCCGGATTG